TTCAAAATTATCCAGAGCTGGAATTGCATATAAGCTATATATTTTTGGAAAGAACTGGTCCTGGGCTACTTCCAGTTTTTCGGTACCCCGATTCATGTCTTCTCCAAATGCCCTTTTGATCCACTTGAAAATTCCATCATTTTTGGCAAAATTTGATGTTTTTCAAAAAATCGTCAAAATTATCCAGAGCTGGAATTGCATATAAACTATATATTTTTGGAAAGAATTGGTCCTGTGCTACTTCCTGTTTTTCGGTACCCCGATTCATGTCTTCTCCAAATGCCCTTTTGATCCACTTGAAAATTCCATCATTTTTGGCAAAATTTAATGTTTTTTCAAAAAATCGTCAAAATTATCCAGAGCTGGAATTGCATATAAACTATATATTTTTGGAAAGATCTAGTCCTATGCTACTTCCAGTCTTTCGGTGCCCCGATTCATGTCTTCTCTGCTTTTTTCATTTGAAAATTCTATATTTTACCACCATATTTAACGAGTATTCAATTATTTTAACTAAGTTTTATTTTACATATTTATTTTTTGAATATATTTTAATATAATTTTACTTTTTTTCTTAAACAAACATTTTATTTGATCTTTGTTTTATTAAAAAATAATTTTAAATAATTTGAAAACGAATTTTACAGTATGTGGAACGTATTTACATTATGTAGTGTGGGACGTATTTGGCAGACGAATTTAACTTCACACCCTTCGAAACTGAATACACCAAGAAACAAAAACAATATACACAAGGCAATGAAATATACGAAATGAAATACTAAAAAAAAAGCAAAAACAAAATACACAATGCAATGAAACCAACAGACATCCAAACATACGAAACTAAATGTACCAAGAAACAAAAACAATATACACAAGGCAATGAAACACACAGCCATCCAAACATATGAAACGAAATACTCGATGAATAAGCAGTGTTGTTGTTGTTGCGTATATCAAAGCATGAAAAAAATTGTCTTTTTTATGAAATTTTCAGAGGTTGTCTCGGATTTTTGCTCATATCTCCGGTATTTATGGACCGATTTTGCTGATTTTAAATAGCGATCTTCTCGAAAGCATGTCTAACAGAATTATTGAAAATTTGGATGTCACCGATATCTGGGGTCCTCTAAAAACTGATTTCAACAAACACACAGACGGACAGACATACGGACATAGCTTAATCAACTCCGCTACCTATAAGGATCCAGGATATATATACTTTATGGGGTCGGAAAATTATATTATAGAAATTACAAACGGAATGACAAACTTATATATACCCTTCTCACGAAGGTGAAGGGTATAATAACTAAAAAGGGACTTTTTTGTAACCGGTTTAGCTGAGGAACGGCCATCGATAGACTAGAAATATTTTGGGAACCATTATAAAACATAACAAAGATTTTTTGAAGCTGGGTAAAATATTGAATTTTTTCTTTAAAACTGTCCAGCTCACAAATGAACAACACTTAACCGAAAATATTTTGGGTAACATCATATTACATAACAATGAATATTTTGAGGTGGGTAACTCAAGCACCATTTTTTTGTCGGTCTAATGTACATATTAAAGATGTGCACACCCAGCAAAAATTTTCATTACCTTGTAATCTAGAAAGTAATATTGGAATCACGTGGAAACTAATTACTTTTGGGGTGAATAACTAATTATTTTTGTTCGACGAGGTTCAAATAATATGTACCTACCTTAAACAAATTAATAAATGGTTACTAATTTGATTACAAAAACTTTGCGAAATAACTAGTTACAAATAAACCTACAAATATGTTATGTTATAGCTAGTTATTTTGGGCCGACTTTGTATGTAGAAAACAAAAAATAAAAAAATTCCTCTGCCGGGATTTGAACCCAGGCATTCAGTTGTTTTCTATGTTTCTCACTCCAGCCGCCTACTCGATGCTCCATTAACATGTTGCTTTTTGTAATTTTGAGAACGGCTTTTTACAAAAATATATAAATGAATGTCATTTTGAAAAAAAATAAGCAGTATCCAGCAGGGCTCGAACCACGAACCCCCTATTTGTTAAATGAACGACCTAGACAATTGAGCCATAACAAATCCAAATTGTTTTGTTCTTTACCAGTAATAACCTATTCAGCTAAATGAAATAATGTGGATGATAATGAACACTCATTACCAAGTAATATATGAAATAACTACTGGCTATTACCAAAAATTTCAGATTTTTTGCTGGGCAGTTACAACTGTTTGCACAAGTTTTGTAGTGTCTCCTACTGTGAGTGCGTATTGATGAGTAGTTGAGTAGTTCTGGTACAAGTTGATATTGTTATTTTCTCAAACATAGGTTGTGTGAGTGAGTACAAAGAGAATAAGAGTAACATACTTGTTTTGCTATACTTTTGCCAAACAAATAAAATAGATAATGATGGTTGTACAACAAATAACTTATTGTATGCTGCAAGCGTATAAAAACACAGTTGTTTAGAAACATTTTTTTATTATTTTATAATGTATATTCGGTATCTCGTGATCTATAGGAGATATCGTAGCAAAATTTAATATAGTTAGAGCTGAGGTGTTTGCGTATCTACTTACAATCTGTAGACTCCGTAGGTCCAATGGAGTCCAGTGGTAAGGCCCTTAAAATTGGTCACCTCGACTCAATTTTTTTAAAATCAATAAAAATGCATTTATGATCCGAATTAAAAAAAAAAAAACATTTTAATGAAAAAATACAAAACAAAACTTTTGAAAGGGTCCTTAGTTTCCTAATTGAAAATCCTGATCTCAGTACAATTTGCCAAAAAAAAAGTTTTTAAATTTTGTCGAAATTCATCTCAAATATTCCCTAAATTGTAAAATTTGGTCCACAAAAAGTCTTTTATTTAGCGCATTACAAAGGACAAAAAGATTTTGAATTTTTTCGAAATATGTAAAAATTATCGTAATTTTAAGAAAAGTTTACAAAAACATTTAGCTTTTTACTTAATGACTTTTTTAATTTATGTAGGAATTCTGAAGCACTAAAAGTAATTCCGTGGAACAAACAATTTTATGATTATTTTTTCTAAAAAATGTAGGAAACTTTTTTTATAATTTGTACTGAGATCATTATTTTCAATAGGTGGGAAAATTATTTTTTATTTTTTTTCGAGTTCACTACGACAATACACATCATTTGAGACTTGTGCCCACTTTAAATCACAAAAACCTGTTTCTCGTTTCACTTTTCTTTAGATCAGATATTAGGCTTAGACTTTTTTTGAGATTTTTTGAGAGACATTTTTCAAAATTAAAAAAAAATTTTCTTTTAAATGTTGTGTTTTAATTTTTTTTATCAAATAAATGATGATAAGGAATATCAATATATTTTCCTTGCATTTATTATTGATTTTATGTCGATTAAAAAATATAACTCTGGAGACCACCTAAGAATATTTATGTAAAATTTAATTTCAATATCCTCAATAGTTCAGAATTATTTTCAGAAAATGTTGAATTACTATCAGAAAATATCACAGAAAAAACAGATTTAAAAAAAATTCAGTTAAACGATTAATCGAAAATTTTAAAATGGTTCAATTCATTTTGTGTTTGAATCATAAAAATGTATAATCAAATACGTATTTAACAACAACAAAATTAGAAACAAATAAAAATTTTGTGTGAAATCAATCAAAAATCAATTCAATAAATAAAATAAATGAAAACGAGGTTTTGGTAATTGAAATCGTTTTTCAGTTTAAATAAATATTAAATAAAAAAACTGAAAACTGAACTAGAACTAACTAGAACTGAACAAGAACTGAACTAGAATATTAAATAAAAATATAAATAAATAAAAAATTAAAAAAAAATATAATAATATTCACTAATTTATTATTCATTTATTACATATTTTTCTTTTGTTTAGAAATAATCTTATTTAATATAAATAAACATACTGCATCAATATAGATTCTTTGTACAGTAGTTTTCCGGTTTAACGAACATTCGTTTTAACGAAAATCGCGTTTAACGAACAGACCAATTTTTTCTATTGAGTTCCTTATATAACGAACAAAAATTATTTTTTGTACTCAGTTTAGCGAACAAATACTAATAAAATTATTTGAATGAACATTTTACAAAATTACCAAAAAAAAAACTATGTTGTCAAAAAATTTACCGTTGTTTTAAGCGGTGTTTTTTTTGTTTTCTTTTGATGTTTTTGTTTGTTTTTAAAATATGATGATTAGTTATGTGTATTCCTTTCTAATGTAAACATCAAAATGAGTACAAGAAAAAGACTTTGTTTAAAAGATAAATTAAAAATTGTGGATGATCATCGAAATGGTTTACGTGTAACAGATTTGTATAAAAAGTATGGTATAAAAAAATCCACAATTTGTACCATTTTAAAATCTAAGGAGAATCTTCTGAAAAATGCGGAAACTACAAATTTTTGGAGCAAAAATAGAAAGGCTATTAAACAGGGTGAATTCCCCATAATGGAAAACCGGCTCTTTTCTTGGTTTCAAAGACAGCGGCGTTGTCATAATCCCATAACTGGATACAATTCAAAGCCAAGGAAATTCATAAAAAATTATATGGTGGCGATTTCAATGCCAGCCACGGGTGGTTGACCAGATTTAAAAATAGGTATGGCATTCGGCTTTTAAAACAAAGTGGAGAGAAACTTTCGTCAGATGCACAAGAAGTGGAGCCATTTAAAAGAAAATTAAACCAAATTATTCTAGAAAATAACTTGCCGAAAGACGCAATTTTCAATGCGGATGAAACCGGGTTATTTTGGAAAGTTTTACCTGACAAAACATATGTTCATTCCGGAGAAAGGAGTGCGCCGGGCCGAAAAATATCAAAGAAACGAATCACAGTCTTGGTTTGTAGTAATGCCAGTGGTTCGAAAAAAATTAAACCTTTGCTAATTGGAAAATCACGAAGTCCTCGTGCATTTCGGAATAAAACGTTGCCTGTGGATTATACCCACTCGAAAAATGCTTGGATAACATGTACACTATTCAAAACATGGTTTTTCAACAATTTTGTACCCCAGGTAAGTTCATACATACATTTTTATAACTTAGTCTTATTTTATTTTAAATTTTAGGTAGAAGAGTTTCTAGCACAAAACAATTTGCCTCTAAATGCTATTCTCCTTTTGGATAATGCACCCTCTCATCCTCCTGCAGAGGAATTGGTAAAACAAACTCATAGTGGCAAAATTTGGGCGCATTATATGCCCCCTAATGTAACCCCATTGATCCAACCCATGGATCAGAATGCAATTCGCTTGCTTAAATTACATTATAAAAACAGTCTATTGTCTCGACTCTTTTCAACACCGGAGCAAAATGTATCTTTGTTTTTAAAGCAATTTAATTTATTTGAAGCAACGATTATATTGGCATCAGCTTGGAAAAGTGTGTCTGAGTCTTCTTTGGCAAAATGCTGGAACAAGATTTTAAGGGAAAATTACCACTTTGATGAAGAAGATGATCTCCCTTTTGCTTCGTATTTACGCCATGACGAAGATACAATTGCAGTTGAAACTGGAGTTCAATTGTTAAGATCAATTTTTCCTACAGTAAGTCATAGATTTAAGAAATTTTCTCAAACTATAATAAATTTTATGATTTACATTTACAGGCAGACATATCAGTAGATGATTTAAACAGCTGGGTTGAAAACATTACCCCACCTGAAGACGTCGATGAAGATGAAATTCAAAATGATGAGGATATTGTCGAAGCCGAAAACTTAGATCCAAAAATAAATCATGCGGATGCAGTCAAACATTTTGAAGCCTGCATTAAATGGACAGAGCAAAATAATATAGATTACTCAAAATCAATGGTTTTAAGAGAGCTTCAAGAAGAGGCTATTAAAAAGCAAATTTCCATACCAAAAAAACAAACATTGCTAAATCGTTTTTTTTAAATAGATTTTTTTACTTTTATAAAAGAATTGCCTTTTATTTATGTTTTTTGTATATCTAACTCTAAATGTGACATGAATTGTTCCTTTTTTTGTTTTTGTTTCTATTAAATAAATACATTTTTTTATAAAATATACTTTTATAAATATTTTAATGTTTTTTTTTAATTATTCACATGACAAAAACCCACTTTTAAGTTAGTACTGCATATAACGAACAATTCACTTTAACGAACTGGCCTGACAACATATACGTTCGTTAAATCGGAAAACTACTGTATTACTATAAGTAACAACAAATAGTCAAAAATATTTGTAGTACAACAGTTATTTGAGAGCAAGAAACAAATACAATACAGTATTCAACTCAAAACCATAAGCAACTGGTATTGTTTTTGTGGATAGAGTGGATGAGCACAAGCAAAAGAATACAATATCAGTTACACTCATTCTCTCATTTATACTTATAGTATTAGGTACTCACCATGGTGTATTTGTTTTACAAATACTTTGTGGTGTACTACTGCACGTCTTTAGTACATATATTACTTTTTTTAGATTAGTTGTTAAAACTATTATTTTTTCTACTATTTTAATTTCAATTATTTCAATAAAAACTATAAAATTTCATTTTATTTAGATTTATTTTTACAGATTTTATGAGTAGACAAATAGAAGAAGAGAAAACACAGGGCGTATACTCAAAAGATACTTACCCTACAAACATTGTCTATTACGGAAGCTACCCGTGTGAAACTTCCAAACGTGCTAAAAGCTCGCCAGCGATATTGCGGAAGTATAAGAATTCTTGTCACCAGTCGGGAAGAACTGTTGCCGAGCTGGGGAACGTCTAAGAGTAACGTGGAAGATACTTCTGGAAGACCCGCAGAAGAAACTTCTAGATTACTCTTGGAAGTAAGGTATTGCCAAAGACTTCTTCAAGTGACTACCTAGTATCATCTAGAAGTGTTCCTATCTTATCTTCTAGAAGATTAGTTTTCTCTTCTTCTATTTGTATACTCACCAAAATAAAATCTATAAAAATAAATCTAATTAAAATGAAATTCTATAGTTTTTATTGAAATAATTGAAATTAAAATAGTAGAAAAAATAATTGATTTAACAACTAATCTAAAATAAGTAATATATGTATGTACATTAGACCGACTTACAAAAAATGGTGCTTGAGTTACCCCCCTCATATTATTTGCTGTTATGTAATATGATGTTACCCAAAATATTTTCGGTTAAGTGTTGTCCATTAGTGAGCTGGACAGTTTTAAAGAAAATATCGTATGGGAACACGATTCTTCATGTTAAATTCAATATTTTACCCAGTTTCAAAAAATCTTTGTTATGCTTTATAATGGTTCCCAAAGTATTTCTAGTCTATCGATGGCCGTTCGTGAGCTGAACCGGTTACAAAATAGTCCTTTTTTAGTTATTTTATTTTAAATTATACAGCATTTCTTAAACAATATGTATAGTATGTGGTATCATTTGAAAGATTTTTTGAAGCCAAGTCTAGTGGTGCGCAAAATTGTGCATACATTTTATTTTTCTTAGTGAAAAACCTAACAAGTTTAAGTATTTTGGAATATGACAATTATAAGCAGACGGTTATTTATGATTAATACATCATTGGACGCGGCTTTAAAATACCTTTTAAACGATACCCCGTATTGGATATTTTGTTTCAAAACAAACAAAAACTTAAAAAAAATAATTCCAAAATACCTTTTTTTAATTTGGTCCAGCTCACGAACCGTCATCCCTAGACTTAAAATATTTTGAGAATCATCATAAAATAAAGCAAGGTAAATTTTGAGAGGGGTAACAAAAACACGTTTTTGCTTTCCATACAGAATGAGTCGGTATAAAGTACATATGTGTCAAAAATTTAGAATTATTACCTTATAATAAGATAATTATAAGGAAATCTGTATTAATATTCCAACTGCTGACTGGTATACTTCCAAAAATTGTAAAATGTTGGACTCTAAAATATTTTTGTAGTTCTTCATCAATTGTATGATCAATCCATCAAGTTGTAAGAGTTATATTTTGGAACGCATTAATCCTTGAAAGAAATAAACCAAAATAATGTTATAATTAGGGTCTCATTTTATAAAACGAAACGACAAACGTTCAAAAAAATTTGTATGGAAAGAATTCAAATTTTCAAAAATTTCCCAATATTCTTCATACAAATTTTTTACGTTAACGAAATAAAATGAGGGGGTTAATATTGAATATACATACTTTTGTATTTATTGAAATTACCTGTTATACTTTAGGAAGCAAGAAAAATAGGATTCTCCTATGTCCAATACATTTACCACCAAAGTTTAAACGGTCAGATCCATTTTTTACATTTTCTGCAAATAATCGACATTTTTAATGGAACCGCGTGATGAAATAAGACATATATAACTTACCAGATCCCTTTTTTTATATTTTAATTCGGTTAGAAGTATTTTAATAGGGGGTACAGTATTAGCTACTGCTTTCTAAAAAAAATAAAATAATTAACAATTAATTAATTAATTTATTTATTGTTTTGAATCAATTAAAACATTACCTTTAATGAACATTTTTTAAATAACTTGGAATTAAACCGTCTATAAAGATCTGAAATTACTAAGTCATGGATAATTTTCAAAATAACGACCCTAAACGGGATATTGCTTTTGACACTAATATTGCAATACTATTTATACCCTCCACCACCATCAGTGGTGATAGAGGGTATATATAAGTTTGTCGTTCAGTGTGTAACACCAAGAAATATTCATCTAAGACTCAACAAAGTATATATATTCTGGGTCCTTCCTGAGTCGATTTGGCTATGTCCGTCTGTCTGTGTAAAACACGCTCACCCAAAATATTTATTATTATCCTAAGCAGTTTGGTACTGAAAATCAGCGAAATCGAAATATATTAAATTTCGTCTCTCTCTTAATTGGTTTAGGAGTTATAAGCATTTAAAGATTTTTTCAAGTTGTACGTTTCGGCTTTCTTTTGATGAACATTGCATTTTAACCTATTTAGATTTATTTAAGTTAAATCTTAACTTTCAATATTTTTTTCTAGATTACGTATGATCACTTTGAGCTAAAATTTTATTTGTATTTTTATACCCTTCACCTTCGTGAGAAGGGTATATATAAGTTTGTCATTCCGTTTGTAATTTCTACAATATAATTTTCCGACCCTTTAAAGTATATATATTCCGAGTCCTTATAGATAGCGGAGTCGATTAAGCTATGTCCGTCTGTCTGTCCGTCTGTCTGTGTGTTTGTTAAAATCAATTTTCTGAAGACCCCAGATATCTTCAAGGATCCAAATCTTCAATAATTCTGTTGGACATACTTTCGAGAAGTTTCCTATTGAAAATCAGATATGAGCAAAAATCCGAGACAACTTCAAGTTGTACGTTTCGGCTTTCTTTTGATGAACATTGCATTTTAACCTATTTAGATTTATTTAAGTTAAATCTTAACTTTCAATATTTTTTTCTAGATTACGTATGATCACTTTGAGCTAAAATTTTATTTGTATTTTTATACCCTTCACCTTCGTGAGAAGGGTATATATAAGTTTGTCATTCCGTTTGTAATTTCTACAATATAATTTTCCGACCCTTTAAAGTATATATATTCCGAGTCCTTATAGATAGCGGAGTCGATTAAGCTATGTCCGTCTGTCTGTCCGTCTGTCTGTGTGTTTGTTAAAATCAATTTTCTGAAGACCCCAGATATCTTCAAGGATCCAAATCTTCAATAATTCTGTTGGACATACTTTCGAGAAGTTTCCTATTGAAAATCAGATATGAGCAAAAATCCGAGACAACCTCTGAAAATTTCATCAAAAAAGCAACAACAACACTGCTTATTGTATAAAAGCCCTACAAACATTTTCTATTGCGGAAGTTACCCGTGTGAAACTTCCAAACGTGCTAAAAGCTCGCCAGCGATGTTGCGGAAGTATAAGAATTCTTGTCACCAGTCGGGAAGAACTGATGCCGAGCTGGGGAACGTCTAATAGTAACTTGGAAGATACTTCTGGAAGACCCGCAGAAGAAACTTCTAGATGACTCTTGGAAGTAAGGTATTGCCAAAGACTCTTCTAGATGTGACTAGGAAGTCACTTCTTGAAGTGACTACCTAGTATCCTCTAGAAGTGTTCCTATCTTATCTTCTAGAAGATGAGTTTTCTCTTCTTCTAGAAGAAGAGTATTCTCTTCTTCTTGAAGAAGAGTATTCACTTCTTCTTGAAGATGAGTATTCTCTTCTTCTAGAAGATGAGTATTCTCGTCTTCTAGAAGATGAGTTTTCTCTTCTTCTATTTGTATACTCACCAAAATAAAATCTATAAAAATAAATCTAAATAAAATGAAATTTTATAGTTTTTATTGAATTAATTGAAATTAAAATAGTAGAAAAAATAACAGATTTAACAACTAATCTAAAAAAAGTAATATATGTACATTAGACCGACTCACAAAAAATGGTGCTTGAGTTACCCCCCTCATAATATTCGCTGTTATGTAATATGATGTTACCCAAAATATTTTCGGTTAAGTGTTGTCCATTCGTGAGCTGGACAGTTTTAAAGAAAATATCGTATGGGAACACGATTCTTCATGTTAAATTCAATATTTTATCCAGCTTCAAAAAATCTTTGTTATGTTTTATAATGGTTCCCAAAATATTTCTAGTCTATCGGTGGCCGTTCGTGAGCTGAACCGGTTACAAAAAAGTCCCTTTTTAGTTATTTTGTTTTAAATTATACAGCATTTCTTAAACAATATATACAGTATGTGGTATCATTTGAAAGGTTTTTTGAAGCCAAGTCTAGTGGTGCGCAAAATTTGCAAAATTGTGCATATATTTAATTTTTCTTAGTAAAAACCTAACAATTTTAAATATTTTGGAATATGACAATTATAAGCAAACGGTTATTTATGATTAATACATCATTGGACGCGACTTTAAAATACCTTTTAAACGATACCCCGTATTGGATATTTTGTTTCAAAACAAACAAAAATTTAAAAAAAATAATTCCAAAATACCTTTTTTTAATTTGGTTCAGCGGTCACTTAAAATATTTTGGGAATCATCATAAAACAAAGCAAGGTAAATTTTGGGAGGGGTAACAAAAACACGTTTTTGCTTTCCATACAGAGGGAGTCGGTCTAATGTACATATGTATAAAAAATTTAGAATTATTACCTTATAATAAGATAATTGTCAGGGAATCTGTATTAATATTCCAACTGCTGACTGGTACACTTCCAAAAATTGTAAAACGTTGGACTCTAAAATATTTTTGTAGTTCTTCATAAATTTTATGATTAATCCATCAAATTGTAAGAGTTATATTATGGAACGCATTAATCCTTCAACGAAATAAACCAAAATAATGTTATAATTAATATTGAATATACATACTTTTGTATTTATTGAAATTACCAGTTATACTTTAGGAAGCAATAAAAATAGGATTCTCTCATGTCCAATACATTTACCACCAAAGTTTAAACGGTCAGATCCATTTTTTACATTTTCTGCAAATAATCGACATTTTTAGTAGAACCACGTGATGAAATTAGACATTTATAACTTACCAGATCCCTTTTTTATATTTTAATTCAGTTAGAAG